TGGTGTGCAGAGGCCTTTAGAGAGAGTACAGTAGAGCTCCGGTGCATCTGTCACAGAAATTGTCATCCTTTGTCTGCACTGTTTTGCCAAACAACTACAGAACACACAGCGAAGAGGAGCAGAAGTTGCAAGCTAACTTGCCGCAGGGTTGATGCTATCAAGATGTTTGAATTTTTCCCTCTCAGTCTGAATTAGGCTAGCCACAAAATGAGTATGCATTGCGCAGGTTTTCATCCACATGCAGGTGTATTTTTGTTCCCTTACATAGTATTCTTGGTGGGACACCTCTTGATCAGCCTCCTTCTTACACAACAATTAACATGTTATTAAAATATATTAATTTGAAGTGTGGCAGATGGTGGACAGGACCAGTTCCTGCAGATGAGTCAAATGATTTAGTTTAGCTCTAGTTATTAGCATGAAGAAAGTGTGGAAAGTGTTGAAACTGACAAAACAAAATTAACAAAGTATACAAGATTATGATAGATTTCAATAACAGAGTAGTACAGATCCCATTAGAGTCCATAGAATCTGAAAATGTATATATAACTCAGATTTGTCTTTTTCCTCTCTTGTAGAACACGTCGCAGATCTTCCCCCCAACCACTGGGGGCGCTGAGCGAATGTGTGCCGATCTGAATCTACCCCTTTTAGGAAAGGTACCGCTAGACCCAAGGATAGCACGAAGCTGTGATGAGGGCAAATCCTTCCTCAATGAAGTACCTGACTCTCCTGCTGCTGAAGTCTATCAGAATATTGTGCAAAGTGAGTGTTTCCAGGAACACGGATCTATAATGCTGTTAGTTTTGTGAAATTCCTGAGTAAGGAAGTAAGGGATGATGCACACGCAGATGATACGTACACAGACATATTTTTAGTTTTCCAGCGAAGTCCTTAAGTTATTATTTTTGATGACTAGGTTTACTTGCTGTCCCAATTCCTGATTGAATGTATTGAAAGAAGAAGTGATCGCTTTACAAATGGGAAGCAGCTAACTAAAGGGGAAGAAGGAGAGGCTGAAATTCAATAATTGTACTTGCATCATGAGATTATGGTTGTGGAGTGGTTTGTATCACAGTTGATTTACTTTGTTTGCACACATTCATTAAAAATCACTTACAACTTTAATAACAGATATTTTTGTGTCCTTGGAAATCTTCAAGTCCATTAAAACACCCCTTCATCATTGTCACACTACTCTCCTTTCTCCTCCGCCAGGTATTAAGGACTACTGTTCCAACCGTGTGACAGAGGAGCAGAGCACCACCTGAACTCACTCAGAAGGCAGCCATATTGGACCAGAACACTGAGACAGGTCACATGATGAGAGTGTGGCAGAAATGATTGACTGACTGAGAAAGAAACACACATAGGAAAGCTAATACCATTAATAATTTAATAACACTCACCAAAAAGCCTGCCAGAACTATCTCAACATCTTCAATGATCATTTAATTGTGATATAATAGGGACTAGTTCCACGTTGTAATAAAGTGAATGTTTAGAAATAATTACAGCTCTATAATGATGAATGGTCTTATCCAAATAAGCACTTGGGTCTAAGTTTGCACCTCAGTGCTTGCATTAAAGAAAAAAAAATAACTTCAAACCACCACTCTGGGAATACTCTGTATATAACACTTACTTTAGCAGAGATAAATACACTTTCTAATCCCTGAGGGATAATTAATAAAATTGATATAAGGGAATTGTAAATGTTTATCTTAAAAGATAAAGTTAGCAATATTATTTCTTGTTTACAAACCCCACAATGCATTACGCTGTCTCTCAATACTCTCGTCATTACACAGCCTCTATGTGTTCTAAGCGACAAGCCCACTGGTTCATACTAAAGATTTGAATCTTTAAAAATCACAAATGTATACTTACACCTACAACAGCTGTGCACTGTAGCTTTTACTAAACATTACTCCAGCAGGAGTAAATAGCCCTTTGTCTGAGTAGGCGATAGTGTATTTGGGGAAGTTAAATCTCAGATCATGTTACGAATCAAGCAGTAGTGTCAAACACAATTCCCTTCCAAGAACATTTGGTGCTCTGAGTTGTGTTTGTGGATCTATTGGCCATCACTATCCCTGGTTACAGTGAATCAGTAGTAAGTCAAATGATGGTACTATCAAAGCACAGGATCATCAGCATAGTATGAAATTCCAACTTCTCATTTGATTCTGTTTTCTCAGTGATTGTAATCATTCCACATTTGAAATGAGAAGACTGTATGGAGATGAAAATCTTTGAAGCCATGTTGTTTTGTTTTCAGTACATGTCTAGTGAATGTAAAAATGTGAGTTCATAAAAAAAGTAAATCAGTGACAACATAATATGTAGAGGTTGATTCCCGATTGTCAATTAGGATTTTCATTTGATCATTCATATGTTCTAAACAATTGTTTTGGAAATATATATGTACTTGCTTTAACAGATTTATAAAATAAATGACCAAACCTGAAATCACCTTCAATGTATTTTTAATCAAACTATTAGGGTAGCACACCCAGAGTGCGTACCACATACCAAGCCTGAGTCCTTGCCACAGCAGCCTGAATTTGAGTCCAGCCCAGGGACCTCATGTATAAAAGACATTGCAGCTTTCATTCCGAAAGATAGTGTACTCACAAAACTTGAGAACTACGTACACGCTGAAATTTCCACATGTATAAAACCAGGCATACACCAAGTCCTGCGCAGCTTTCCTTTAAACATAATACATAATGTGGAAACTGGGGAGTCCACTGCCAGGGGGGAGAGCACATTATCCCTTCTCTCTTCCATGCCTTTCCTGTCTCTCTCTACTGTACAATCAAAGGCAAATGCCAAAAAACTGACTAACTTATTAAAGTAGGTGCTCTTTTGTTTTGTCTATAAATCAAAGATTATTTGAGATAATCTTGCCAGCTTTCTAACTGATAATGCAGTTGGCTCTCAACTGCCAAGTCTTGTTGCCATGTTTTATTTGTGTGTGCGAGTGGTTCTCATGTGTACTCTGCCATACATAGTCATAGTTCCTCCGGGGTTCACTGAAAAACACATGTGAAACTGCATCTGCATCCTGCTAATAGACAAAACAACAGCAGCCACAGCCACACAGATGAAGTCTTTCTCACACATTATACCCACATAGATCTGCATTTATTTTATAATAGTGTTCGTTGCAGTCAGGTCGAGTTATAAATGTATGACTTCAAGCACTAAAATATTTTCCTCTATTTTCTGCAATTCTATGTAGAAAAATGAAATAATTGCAAAAATACAGTCTTTACTAGATTTTTAATACAAGGAAAAGCAATTTTATTTTTTTTACATTAATACTATGTAGTTGTGATGTGTAAAAGATTCGATACACAGGAAACCCAATAATGAGTGTACAAAAGAGGTTTCTTGGAAGCAGTATGATGTACTGTGATATGGGAGAAGAAATATTTCAAATTCCTTAAATATATTTAAAATAAAATGTAAAATCAAATTATTTTAAAATAATCTATTCTTAAATTTTGAAGTCTTGACCATTCATTTTACAGATGACCTCGACTGTAGAGCAAGAGGTGTTGCTGGGGTGAAACTAAGCAAGTGAAGCATGGGTGCAGGGTGTTTTGGTTATGTGTAAATAATTGCTATATATCTGTGATTGTGAAGCCATAAATGTAGCACACCGAAAATGCAGTGGGGAGGTGTTTCAATTGGGGAAATAAACAAATGTATTTCCTCCATTGTAATATTCTGCTACACAAAGAAAAAGTCCCTAAATCAGTGAAACAACAACTTGACAAACATCCAGTGAAAATTATTGTAATAAATGGAATAATTTTGTATTTATTTATTTATGGATTAGTATGTATTATGGAATTGTGTTGAAAATGTTTGGTTTTTTTTGGTTTTAGAAGTGTGTGGGTTGTGATACCGCTCTCAAAATGATATATGTAAATCAAACAAAGCAGTGTGTGTATGTTGTAGACTATGAAAAATAGCAACAATATTTAACATCACACAAAATGTATGCTAATTAATAAAGCCGAAATAAAGCACAGGAGTAAGTTTCAGCGTGTGTAAGCAAAATGTAACCTCACTTCCCAATAATAATGACACGTCTACCTCCAGACTATTAAAACCTCACTCACATACATTCCCAACAGACCTCCCCTCCAGCCACAAAAACACCTTCCTCTTTTATTGGGAACACCTCCTGAACAAAATCATTGTGTTCCTTTAGAAAATAAAACTTAATCATCCGTACTAGTGGCTGTCACACTAGACATCAATGTCCGGGGATCAGACGCCGCCACCATGGCCCAGTTCGAGGAGGTTCTGGATGGAGTGCGGCTGGTTCTGACCTGGGCCTCTCCTCCTGAGATCCAAGCTCTGCTGGAGGGTTTGGTGGAGGAGCGGATCATCTCAGAGGCCTACAGCAAGTGCTTGAGTCTGCACCGAGTCACCGCGGGGGTCACACCTGAGCCAGCTCACAGCAAAACGCCATGTAAACCAGGACCTGATCTGATGAATTCTCTAGGATCTCCCACCCACGGGCACCTCATCCAAGGTGAATTCAGCCAGGACTGCAGACAATCTGCCACCACCGACCACAACCAGATCAGATCGGAGTCTGATGAACATAACAGCGCAAGGTCCTGGCCAAATCCACCAGTGATCGACGTACACTACCTCAGTAAAGGAGTCTTTTCTACACCGATAGTATACGACTACAACTGCAGTCTCAGATCAGATGACGAAATTACAGAACTGCTGAGAAGTGCAGAATCGATGCAGAAGCCAGAATGTGATAATGAAAGAATAAATGAGGGGAATTCTGAAATTGAGAAGGAGTGGTTAGAGCAGGTAGAGGAGGCAGCTAGGAGGATAGCTGTGCCTCTGTGGCAGCACTGGGACAGAGCAGGGAGGATGTTGCTGCCGCTGATTCCTTCTTTGACTACTTGCTGTGCAACAAGTGAAATCACAGTGACAGACAGTGAAGCACTATGCCCTGTTCTGAATATGGAAGAGGAAACTGAGCTTGCAATTGTCTTCAGGACTCTAGATTTGTACGCTGATAACTTTAACTCTACAGAGGCAAAGATCAAAGACCCAGACTTTACACTGGACAGTGAAGTAGCCACTGACACACCAAAGGGACCGTATTCCTCTGCATACGAGATTGGATTGGACACAGAACATTTCAACATCTCTGGAGCAGCAAGAAATGTCTCACCTGTTGAAGTCTGTGTGGCAACAGACACAAACAACAACATCACAGACAGGCTGGAGGCTGGTGTCGACGCCTGCGGGGTTTTTGACAGAACAACTGACAAAACAGAGGACCTGCTCTGTCTGACAGGAGATTCACAGTGTGGCTTTCCAGGATTTATAGAAAACTTTGCACATTTATTTACTTCCTATACACCAAAAGATACTCACACCGAGGCACAAGATAACTCATTTTACTCAAACATAGATTACAACATGACATTAAGCGTTCTAGACAATGTGGAAAATGTTTTCAGTGCTGCCAATGGCACAAAAACGTGCAGCACTGTTGACATAAGAGACATCTATGAGAATAAAGAGGACGAGGGGAGGGCGGAGTCCCACTGGGGTAAGTTTGCATTCAATCATCATATAATGTGCCCTTGTTTTCTGTTCTTCTACCATCTTTTGTTGTCTCTGTTCATATTTGCATGATCTGTCAGGGCTTGTAGAAATACTGTCAGAGTCCTGATTTCAAGGTTAATTGAATGAAACTTTTATTTCTTATAATAATACATTTTATTTATATTTTCATCACGAGGATCTCAAAGTGCACAGGTAGAAACAAAAAGCAGTTTTAAAAAAATAATAATAAGAAAGAAGGAGAAAGAGAATAAAAAAAAAACATCTAAAAGGGACAAAAGCTTTGCTAAAAGAAATGTCTTAGATCCTTTTTTAAAAACAGTCAGTGGATTGTAGTGCCTCAGGGTGTCAGGGGAGGGGGGCATTCCACCAGACCGTGGGGCCGGCAGCACAAAAGGCCCCTATCTCACATGGTATATATATATATATAAGAAGCACAAAAATGAAAGGCTGGCTCCATCCCCTTGTATGACACATGTTGTGCTTTCCAAAATGAAGGACAGTAAATGTACTCCTGTTTTGGATGCAACAGGGGTTGACAGGATTTGGTGGGTTAGGTGTGCCTTACTTTCAGTTTCAGTTTGACTTATTCCAATGCCAACCCAGCGCACATAATGATTTGGGAAAACTAATGCGTAGTGAAGGAAGAATTCAGCAGTAAAAGTAAAGCTGTTACCACTCTGTAAAAAGTGAAAGTCCCTGCACTGAGAATGTTACTTAGTAAACGTAGCCCCAAAGAGCATAAAGTAGGAAAATGCACTTAAGTATTTAAAGTAAAAGTAGTCAATGCCTGTTTTGTCTTATTAATATATTATATCATAATATTCATTTGTTTTTATGACTCATGTATTAATGTAAAAGGCAGGATTTCACCTGTTGTTAGTTGAGGTAAGAGCACATTTTTACTATTTTGTTAGGACCTGAACTAATAATATTGATTATTCCCATTATGGATTCATCTGCTGATTATTTTCTCCCCATTAACCAGATCGGAGGTGTTTGGTTTTTAAAAACTTCTGAAAAAATAATAGCAAATGCTGTCCACAGTTTACCCACAGCCAGGTAACGCCTTCGTTTTTTATTCCATCAATCGCTTAATTGATAATTAATAACTAATCATATTCAGGCTTATTGTTTTGTTACTGTTTAGGTAGTTTGATTTATAACAAACCTTATTTGTTAAACTACTTAATGCTGTCCAAAGCGTAAAAAGCACAATGTTTCTCCCCTTAGTATACAGTATAAAGTTGGCGTTAAAGAAAAGAAAAGAAAGAAGTAAAGTAGCCACTACCTTCAAATTTGTAACAGTAAGTGAAGTACTTCAGTAAATGTTTTTAGCTTTTAGTTACATTCCCCACCTGCTGCAAGAGGGAGGCACCTCTAGCAAAAGCCACCTGCAGCTTTTGCAAGCTTATTTCCTGTCTAACAGCAGGGAGAACAGTGTCAGACCTTCTGATCAGGAGGAACCAAGTCGGGTGACTTCAAACTGTAAGCTTTTGATTAGCATACAGGCCTGAATGAGAGCTTTTAGTGATCCACTGGAAGAATTTTTTTTAAGAAACCACTGGTGTTTCAGGGTTTTGCAGCTATATTTGGTTGTGGTGAACCTGGAACACTCAACAGAGCAGGATGGAGCCTGCTGTGGGAAACCTGGCTATCAGTGTAAATAAGACCAAAGTTTTGGCAAGAGGACAGGAATGTTGGGCAAGCAGTTGATTGCCTTGTTGGAAAGAAATGCCAATCCGGATGCAATTAACAAGGGCGGAGTTTGACTTTATCGTGAATTTTCATGATTTTTCATACATGGGTTGTGGCCCTGTGGAGATCTTTTGTCTAACCTGTCAGAGGTTAATTATTTATCTACTAGCAACTTTTGGCCTAAAAACTTTGTGCCATGTTTTTCGCTCAGTTCAGTCCCCCCAGTGTTCGTCACAGCCTTTAAAAATCACATGCAAGATCCAACCAAGTATTTCCGTACTCATGTGCCACATTGTAATTACTGTGTTTTTCCTTTGTTCTGACCTTCTGGGCCATCTTGCACACGGGCCGGCCAGACCTTTTAACCTTTCCTCCACTCCTGCCTATTTCCCCTGTACTGACTGTGTGTCCACTCCCATGCCTAATTGTTTTCTGAAGAAAACGCCCGTTTCGTCCCCTGGGTGGACAAACGGGTATCAATGTATGATGTGTGTGGCAGCATGGCAACA